TCCACATAACTAAGCATGACAGGCCCTTTGGTTGTGCGGAAGCACAGAGCTTCAATACTTCCCTGTGGCTGTGTTCAGAAAATGGTGGAGATGATCCCTTCAGGAAAGCATGCGGCTTCAGGTTTTCCCATGTATTGCTATCTTTCCCCCATTGCTTATGAGCAGAGAAATAAGTGTCATTAAAACTAAGTCAATAGTCCATGTAATTCAACCTGCATGTTACCTTGTCAGGGTCTTCAAAATGGTGTGGTGGTTTGCAAGCAGAAAAGCTGTGTGTTGTTGAGGTGAGGAAAGCAGTTACGCACTTCTTTCAGGACTTCCATAGCAGGCATGTCCTCTTCAAATAATACTGACCTAATTTATTTAGCCTGCTTTGTAAAATGTGCGCAAGGGTCATAGTATCAGGAATGAAATCTTTGTTGTTGACTGTGAAGCAGAATAATACGAGTCAAACACATGCTGCACGAGGAGGGTGCTCGGCCATACAGTCACTTCCCTGATTGCAGTGTCATCTCTAAAGTGGATGTTGGTATATGCAAGTAGCATAGTGGCTTACAATGCTTCTTTTTAATTCCCAGCCCTTTTTCCCAATGTATTTTTTAATTAATTCTCCTTAATATCTTGTTACAAATAGGTTAATGATCCTGCTATGAGGGGAGGCAATCTCTTTCCAAACCAGCTGCCTGGAATGGATATGATAAAGCAGGACGGAGATGCAACACGGGTGAGAAATTACATACATAGGCAACAGAACTATGAATTGTTGTACAGTGTCTTTTTACTTAAAAAGTTAAAAGTAGCTGGCGTAATACAGCAATTAAGTTTTTTGCAATTAATTTTTTAATTCCACTTATGGTGACATATGTATGAAGTTCCTTGTTTAGATCCCACTGGCATTATTGAAGTGAATAATGCAGAGTACATTTACATGAACAGAATACATTATTAAGTTAACAAACATCACGTTCAGCAGACTTATGTGGAGTTGTGTTTGATTTTTACGGAGCAATTACATGACTATTTGCTGACGATGGGCAGTGCTTAACCCACCTCACGTTTCCTCCCGCCGAAGTGTTTTTTCCACTTGCTTTGGGCAACAAAAATCTCAGTAATTATTTATTACTGTCGGTACAGGGCTGCTTCTTCGGAGAAGGGCGGTAGAACTGAACTAATTTTCACACACATTCCCAGCTGACAGGGTAATTAGCGTTTGCTTAGCCCCGAAACGATTTGTATTCCAGGCAGCAACAGCACTAAGGGAAGGACATTGTGGAGTTCTTGGCCTGTGGCCAGGTACATGAGGTGGTTTTTACGGCCCCCCCCGTCCTCCTCTGCAGTGGAAGGGGGTTCTTTTATTTTAAGTAAGTTTTCCACAGCAAGCGCAGGATTTTGGGGCCGCCCCTGGTCCCTCCAGCCCTTCCCGCCCCGTCCC